TCTCCATCGGTATGTTTGATGGACTTTACGTTATCATCTTGCCATATTCTCTTGGGCGAGATTTGCGGTGATCTTCTTTTGGCAGTACACTATTGTGATTTTGTAATACTCCTCTTAATTTGGTTTCACTAATTCCTAGAGCATCGCATACGCGTTGTTGTACAGACATTACCGCCATTTTCTTTTTCATCCGTAAAATACTTATGTACACTACACATTAGACTATCTACATCTAACACACGTTTAGGCATTTTCAAAATTTCAACTAAATTTACAATATACATACAATGTCAACACTTGCGAAGAATCAATTTAACTGCAATATTTGTAAGAAATTTAGTACCTACCCTAATGTTATTTTAATTTAAATCTGACCATTAGGGCAATTTTACCTAATTTCTTGGGAAGAAGCTTATTGGAACTGGTTGTCAATGATTAGTTTGTATAATTTTATTAATCCGAAACCCGCGTATATAGCGAACAGACTGTATGTCAAATTCGGTCAAAAACTACGAAAAATTATTACTAATAAGTGTACTGAATTTAAAGTTAATGGGTAAACTAAAAAAAAAGTTATTGAGAGAAATTCATGAAAACCTTTTTTTTTTATAAACACCCTGTATTTTCGCTATTTTTGAGTTTTTAAAAATATAAACGCTGTATGAACTTAAGTATTGTTTTTTCAAACAGAATCAACCCTTAAATTTGTTGCTCATTATTTCCAGACAAACTAAGATTTAATATAAATTATTAAAAATTTAATTTTATCGAAAATATTTAGTTTCATTTAAATTTAAAAAGACATAAATCAATAAAGAATTATAGACCTTTTCATCACAATTTTTTTTTGTGCGCATGCGTCAGTTTCAGCCATCTTTTTCGTACTGTTTTTGTAAACAAGTATGTTAAAATGCTTACGTGAAAAAAATTATAATTGATAAATATTAATTTACTTAAGTCTATATTCACTTAAAAAAAGGAAGAAAAAGTAAAGTAATAATAAGTTTAGTGTCTTAATTGAAAAATAAATTTTCACAATCAATTATAATTATGTTATCTGTACGGAAAGGAACAACGAAACAGTGTTGTTATGTAAAAGTGACACACGGTATAAATCATTCAAAGGCAATAGATATTATTTTATAAATTTTCCAAAGCCTTAACTGCAATATCATAAACAATTATCAGGCAAAATCCATATTAAAATATATTCGAAATGTGCATTAAGTGTGAAAAAATATGATCGAATTGACAACTGTTTTCGATGGATTAATGATGTTACTAAAGATACTTATATTTCATTGCATTTTCATGGAGAAAGTGGTCCAACAGAAGAAAATTCTCATCTGGTATTAAACAATATTTTTTTAATATTAAATACTACTTCGGTATACACATTAAATGATTAAAAATGTCATGTTGATCCTCAAAATAATAAATAATTTATTTTATTAATTATACTCGTGATTAACTTTCATGCTAATTAAAGTGTTTTTGCAAGTAGTAATAGTTGGTTGGCATAATTAATTAGAATAAAGTTATAATTATTATTTGTTTTCATTAATTTTTTACAGAGTTAAAAAGTATTGATACACCTAACCTCTCAATTAGTCCACTTTGTTCTTTTGTAACAAACATCCAAGACACTTCAACCTCCTTTTCAACTGCTCACAACTATGCGCTTCCACAGAGTTATAAAAAAGTTATTCACTATCAACGATTTTTTCTAATGATTAATTTTTCTGTAGAGATAACCTTGCTTTCCCAGCCATTGTCGATCAAAACAGTACGAAACTTTTGAATTACCGCTATTTCAACATGGTGGCTGTGCTTGCGCTCATCACATGATGAAAAGGTCTATTGGTACAAAAGTATACTTATTTGTAATTCTGAATTTTTTTTATTTATAATTATTAACCTAAATTCCGATATGAATAATATATTTTATTTGAATTAGGACCTGGAAATTACTAATATATGTTTTGAAATTAGGTTTGAATAAAAAAAATAATAATTTACATAACAAAAATATTATAGCCATTTAAAGTAATTCATAACACTTCTAATGTAAAAAATATAACATTAACATGGTTTGGTGCAGTAGGATAAATAGGCGGCTATGCCTTTGACAGATGAGGTTTATATTGGTAAACTACATTGAGTTACTGTATAGGGACCGTGCGTGAAATATAGAGGCAGCACTACTGCCGAACTTAGCCCTCTCTAGTGTTTAATTTTAGAATTAAATGGGGTAAACATTGCAAGTAAATAATGAAGGGTATTTTTTTAATATTAAATATAGTTAAAAATAGATACCGGCCCGTACCAAACAATCGTGTACATGGTCAAAATGACGTAAAATGTGAAACATTATTAAAATCTGGACATGCATATACATTTTAAGCAAAAAGATTTAAATGGCTAAGTGACAATAAATTGTAAAGTTGTACCTTAAACAAGTGTATCCAATGTTAAAATATAGGTATTTAGTAACACTGAATTTAAAAGTATTACAATAACATTTAAAAAATGTAAATTAATAAAAAAGATTGATAATAATAATTATAAATCTTTTTAGCTTTATGTTAATCGAAATGTCATTCATCCACTGCCGTTTATGAGATGTTCAATGATACATATATTATAGATTGCTCACCCAACTATAAAAAAATTATGAAAAGCTGGTTGCAATGTGACTTTCCTAGTGCTCACTAAATAGAGCCGTTCTAGCCCAAATGTGTTAAAATAAAATTTCAGCATTTTAATCTTTAGAAAAAGATAATAATTAAAGTTTTACTTCAATACATGTCATTATGTATTTGGAAAGTTGAGTTTTCATGTAGTTAAATAATATTAAGAGATCTAAACAATTTTTATAACAGATGGATATAAATAATTTTAGACTACTATTTCAGAAACAATTCTACATAAAATACATAATTGCAATATGTAATACAATTTTGAAAAGGTAATGTAAACAAATTTGATATGAGGTATGAACAACTTTGGTAAGAGTTGTAATTGGACACTTATCTATTATTCTGAATAATGTTTAATGGTAATGTCACTAAAAAAATTTACAAAAAATCACTGGATTTTTAATATTTTAAAGTTTGTTACAATCTCTTTTGACAGTAATTGCAATGTATTATTTATGATTTGTTTATTTTAATAATAAATGAGAAATAGTTAATAAATTGTAAAGAGGGCCGTGATATTTTTGTCAAATTGGATATTCTTATTTCATAACATTCTACATTAGTTTTAATCAACAGAATAAACCATTATCTGTAAAATTATATTTATATAAAATGGTCATTTAAATGTGTAAAAATCTTAATGACAAGAAAACACTAAAGATTCTAATTTTTCTGTAAATGATTTCTTTACAACTAACAATAAGTGCTCAAAATTGATACAAGCTAGATAAAAAGAAAACTTTGCCCAGTGAAATACGCTTTTCGTCGTCTGATTTACATATGGATAAGCAATCTTTGTAATTATGTATATCATTGGGTGTGAGGCATAATTGTGCTCTGTGGAAATTTATAAAATTTCTTTACTATCGAATGAAATCCAGGTTTCTAAAGTGATGCAACAAGTTTTTTCGATATTGATATTACGAAAATAATTCGACTTCATTTTATTAATAATTATTAAACAATAAATGCCGTATAAAACATTAATAAATACCCCCCAAAAAGTTCACATTTTTGTCACCAGTTAGCGTTAAAGTCATGACGCACGGTCCCTATAGTAAATCAGCAAACAAAGATATTCTTATATAAAACATTTCTTGTAAGCATTTGCGTTAAACAATTTGAGAAAAATGGATAGCTTTGAAAAGTATATTTTATGTAAATACTGCAAAGAGTTGAGTCAAGTGTAAATATGTCATCCAAAATTAATATATTTAACGAATTTAATGGAAGACTGCGACTAGGAAGTGTTAGAGTCGAATGGTTTGTTTACGAAAATCCAAGAAAGTCTGCTGAAGATGTCAAGTAAATATGGCCTTTTGCCTAAAAGAAATTTGATCACAATTGTTTTAAAATATTACATATATGTCTTAAAACACAGACATCTAATTAATTCGTCACTGTCCTATTTTAGAATTCAAGTAATATTTAAATCTTACTATGTTTGTAGATCCTACGTCTTTTGAAATATAAATTGTTAATGCATAATAATTAAACAAATTTTTGTTTTCTGTTTATTAAAATTTTATATCGAATAATAAATAAAAATGTTAATTCTTTGCGATATTCACAATTATATCTACATTATTTAATGATTGTAGATTATATGTTTACCTTTTTAACTGTCAAAAAATTTCACTTAAAAATCGTGGCGCCTCGAAAAAATTTCCGGAATTTTTTTTAGTTGTCATGGTAACTAGTCAAAATTAAGGCATTTTATTGGTTGAAAAGTAGAGGTGTATTTCGAAAAATATTTTATCCAAGCATGTTTAGTTTAATCACATTATTCTTAATCAGAGAATATTCGTTTGATTTGTGTCCCATTCTTAATGACACACACTGTATATTTCTAAAATTTTAATCTGAATAGATCCAAATTAAATTTAAGTAAAACTAAATTTCTTAATATGTTCATTATTTATTCTTTATTAATTTTTGATATTTTTTTTATATACTTGTTTTAGAAGTTTCTAGATTTGTAATAATTGTTACACTGACATTTTTATATAAAAGAACAGTTTTTGTTTCTCTATTTCATGATATTATATTTAGTTAAAAAATTAAATGAGTAAAATCAATTTAATTATACCAATAAAACTCAAAATTTTGCCTATTTAAATTTAAAAATTTTCTTAAATTAAAATTAATTTTGCCTAATTATTTTTTACAAAAATTTTTTCTTTATAAAATTTTGTTGTTTTCTACATCACAAGTTACCTTCTTCACTACATTTAATCCAAATTTTAACAGCACAGTCCTTAGAATCAAAAACCAAAATTCACCCCCTCACCACCCACTTACCACTAGCATTAAACTCCGCATATTTGTCACCACTTGCACGCATAAAAAAAAATTAAAGACTTCTGCTTTTGCGAAGTCAATGTCTGCTTCGGTTCGCCGCCAGTTTTATTTATACACTTCCCCTTGATGGGTGAGGTGAAAGTGATTTCTTCCATACAAAATAATGTGGGAGATGCTGCAAACGAAGAAGACATTGGGGATGATAGAGAATACGATAGGTAGCGACGTGACCTTGAAATGTCTTACGTTATGTTGACAATTATTGGCGGTGCGCTATGTCACGGCGTTCTTCGATTATGTATTACGTGATACACATTTCAAATTGGAAATAATTGATTGTTTGATTGAGGTCGGTTGGAAATAAAGAGATCGTGAACGGTATTTTAATTTTTTTTTTTTTGAAAATCCTATTGATAAAAATCTAGGAAATCTAGGATGAACGAAGAAAGTGTTTCATTATTTTTATTGATTATTATTAGTAGAGCTAGGAATATATGCAAAACGTCATATTTTGCATATGTTGCATGTATATACAATTTTTGATATTGAATGCATATATTGACATTTTGTTAATTTTTTGGCATATATCTGACGCACTAAATGGCTGGACATATTAAAATTATGAGTTTTGGACCAAAATAATATTTTGTAAAATGCCTTTGCAGGTCGATTTCCTAAAATTTTGAAAGATTAACTTTTCCCTGTAATAAATTACGGTTAATGGTGTAGGTACTTGAGAGGATTAAATTATAAACACCCTCCTTAAACCAACAAATTTTGCTAAATATCCTTACAGGTAGTTGTATTAATATCTTCAAATTTCTAAATGACTCAGTTTACTTTCAACTTCATTTCAGTCTTTATTGCTGTGTTGTGTTAACCAGTTGGAAAAATTGCAAAATTAGTTGAGTCGTGGGTAAAATCTTATTCAAATTTTGTTGTAGAAGGTGATAACCAGGTGTTTTGTAAAACATGTTCTAAAATTGTAAGTACTTTTTTATTTTATATTTTATTTTGACCTTTTACAATGGTAAATCAAACGACAGGTAGGGCAACTTTACAACGTACGCATTTACTTAATTTAATTAAAACTTCAACATCTACAGGAATTTATTTGTTTAAGATTCCATGTAAAAAAAAGTTTCAAATCGACCAACACGCGAAAACACCCTCATATATAGTAAAGCAGAAATCTAAAGACACTCGCAGACAATGTCAACTTACCTTGAAACAATATTTAAAATCTGGATCGTCTTGAAGTGAACAAGCTATTTTTAATGAAGATTTATGCAAAGCTTTAGTGACTTCAAATATCTCTTTAATACGATTAAATAATCCAAATCTCCGATCATTTTTGCAAAAATACTGTAAATTTTACGCAAACGTGGTGTTGATAGTTTGTACTTTGAGACTCGTGAAAAAATTCGTGAGATTACCGTTGGAAACCATTTATACATTATTGTGGATGAAACAACAATCTATTGTGGTCGATATATAGCTCATTTAATGATAGGTTCATTACGCGAAGAAATGCAAATTGGTCCATATCTAATCGCTTCAAAGCAATTAGATAAAACAAATAACTTGACAATAACTCGTTTTATCCAGACAGAATTGTCTTCCTTTTTTCTTTCGGAAGCCGTTCCCACAGAGAAGTGTTTATTGCTGTTATCCGATGCTGCCCCGTACATGGTAAAAGCCCCACAAAATTTAAAAATGAAAACTTAATCCATGTTACATGTTTGGCTCATGGCCTTAACAGAGTTGCAGAAGAAATTAGGTCTAACTTTCCTTTAATAAATGATTTAATTATTAATGTAAAAAAAATATTTCTTAAAGCTCCTCTAAGAACTCAATTGTACAAAGAAAAATTTCCTGAATTACAGATGCTACAGGAACCTGTGATTACTCGGTGGGGTACCTGGCTTAAAGCTGCCTTTTTTACGCAGATAATTACGAAAAAATTAAAGAAATCATATTTGATTTTGATGATTCTATTGACATAAAACGTTCACTTTCTCCTAATACTTTCACTAGATACTTAACGGTTGCTAATTGTTTTTACTGTTTCTTGTTAGCTGTAGTAGTTGTCATATTTTTGATATTTGTCACATTTATATTTTTTATACGATTTCCAAATAAAGTATTATCATATTGATTATCTGCATTCATCAATATGGTAGCAGAGCGTGGTTCCTCATAATTTGACTACCATTTCGTCTAACTGTTAACCATCAGAAAAATCACCGATTTGGAATCTGCTGGTAGTGTGAAAGAAATATGGAGTACCAAGGAATTGAGAAACTACGGGGTGCAGATAATTGGACCATCTGGAAATTCGCAATAAAAAACGTTTTACGTGCCATTGATGGAGCGTATGAAATCTGTATTGGGGAATTTAACAAACCGATACCAATTCAGGGAGCATCGTCTCAAGAACTGACAAAGGAATATCAAAACGAGTTGAAACTATGGGATAAGAGTGATCGTGCAGCAAGTCAAGTAATCATAAAATCGGTGGAAGCTAAAGTTATGTCACTATTAGTAGCTTGTGATACGGCTAGAGACATGTGGCTAAAACTACATGCTGTATTTGAACAGAAAACCAAACAAGCAGCGCATATTGTTCAAGCAGAATTCTTTGGCTTTAGCATGACCTCAGATGATGATATGGTTACTCACATCTCAAAGTTTGAAGGGTTGGTTTTACGAATGCAACAACTAAATGTAAAACCTGATGAAGCATCCTTAATCGTAAAATTGCTAGATACTTTACCAGATCAGTATGAAAGTCTTCAGCAAGCTTGGTGGGCAAGACCGGAAGATCAGCAGAAGCTTGATAATCTTATAGGAGTTCTAACTGCAGAAGAAACGCGCCAGAAACAACGAGTTGGAAAACAAAAAGAACTAGTTGCACTGATTGCCACTAAATTAAAGATCCAACCTTCTGTTACTAAGAATCAAACGTCTACCAAACCAAAAAGTCATTCAAATGCTATCATTGTGGTAAAAGAGGCCATTTTCGAAAAGATTGCCCAGAAAAGAAAAAGGTTTCATCTATAAATAAAAAGGATGAAGCTTTTGTTTCCGAAATTGAAAATGCCGAACTCGACAGTGACTTTTGGATTGTTGACTCTGGTGCTACCGACCACATAACGCATCACGCTGAATGGTTTTCTACCTTTGAACAATTTAGTACTCCTCTGAAAATTCATATAGGTGATAATTCCACGATGAATGCCCTTGGAAGAGGTACTATTCCTTTTGAAGCTAAGGTCAACGGAAGATGGTTATCATGCCGTATGAAAAATGTCCTTTTTGTCCCATCTGCGAGAAGAAATTTATTTTCGGTACCCTCAGTAACTGAAAAAGGAATGACTTTTACAATGTCAAGCAATGTCTGTAAATTTGTCAAAAGTGGTGTTGTTAAAGCTGAAGGAATAAAATTCGGAAAGCTGTTCAGAATGTCTATACGGGTAAAGATTCCTGTAACTTCTCCAGTCAATGAAGCAAATTTTACTTCAAACGATACGTTGCAGATGTGGCATGAACGATTCGCACACCAAAATAAACGTCACGTTGCAGAAGTATTAAAGACTCACGGAGTCAGCTACATAGAAGACGGACAGTTTTGTGGGGCGTGCGTAGAAGGTAAACAACACAGAAGTAGCTTCAGAGAACGACAACAACGAGCGACTTAACCTGGCGAAGTTTTCCATGCTGATTTATGTGGGCCAATGGAATCTTCCTCCTTGGGAGGGTCAAAATACTTTTTGTGCTTTACTTGCGATTACTCTAGATATCGAAAAGTTTATTTCCTAAAAGAAAAATCTCAGACTATAACACACATATCTGATTTCGTTGAATATGTGAAAACTCAATGCGGAAGGCCTATGAAAATGTTTCAATGTGATGTTGGTACTGAATTCGCCAATGCAAAAGTAAAAGAATTACTCCAGTCAAATGGAGTCATATTTAACACTGTAAATCCATATACACCTGAACAGAATGGTTGCGCAGAGAGAACCATCAGAACCATTCTAGATTTGGCGAGAACAATGCTTTTGTCAAAGAATCTACCAAAATCCTTGTGGGCTGAAGCAGTCAATTGTGTTGTTTTTACACTCAACTAAACTGGGCCAAGCAGTATACACGGAAAAACACCATGGCAGCTGTTCACAGGAAAAGGTCTCCATTTGGAACGGCTTCACATTTTTGGTACAGAATGTTATGTTCATATACCGAAAATAAAGCGACAAAAGTGGGACCCCAAAGGAAAGTGTGGTGTGTTTGTTGGTTATTCAGATCATGTCGATGGATTTCGTATCTGGATGAAAGTTAGTAACCAAGTCATACGAAGCAAAAGTGTTGTCATTGTACCAGAAAGCACCTGTAAAACATTGGCTATATTTCCCGTTGAAAATGTCGAGATGGAAAATCAGAATTCTGAAGAAAATCTTCCTGAGACTCAAAGTAAAACTTCAGAACACGAGAACGTAGAAAATGAAGAACAAGCTGAAGCTATGAGATATAATCTTCGAAGCCATAATAAAACAATTTTAGTACCTGAACATTCTATCGAAGCCATGTTCGTTGAAATAGATGAACCAACGAGTTTCAAGGAAGCCATACATTCGCTTGAAGCATCTAAATGGCAACAGGCGATGGAAGATGAAATGACTTCTTTGAGAGAAAACTCAACTTGGACTTTAGTTGAGTTGCCAGAAGGTCGTCGGCCTATTTCTAATCGTTGGGTCTACAAGGTAAAACGTAAAGGTGATGACCAGATAAATTGTTTCAAAGCACGTCTTGTAATTCGAGGATTTAGTCAGCGGGAAGGTATCGATTACAATGAAACCTTTAGCCCAGTAGTACGTTTCGATACCATCCGAACTATTTTGAGCATAGCAGCCAACGAATCTCTTGAACTGGCACAATTCGATGTGAAAACAGCATTTCTTTATGGCTTCATCGATGAAGAAATATTCATGAACCAACCCGAGGGCTTAGAGGATAACACTAATAGAGTATGTAAGCTCAATATAAGTCTTTACGGTTTGAAACAGTCTCCTAGATGCTGGAATAAAAGATTCAAAGATGTTTTATTACATTTTG